TTTTAGTTTAGTGCCAAAAATGAAGAGGGGGGGGGGTGGATACATATTCACATTGAGATAAATTTATCTCTTAAAAATGCACATAGAGCAAACTATATGTGAATTCAAAAAGCAATAGCAAAAAACACACATTTACCGAACTTATCTATTGAAAAATCACATACAACAAAACACACATCCACATCTATATAGCAAGATCTGACCATAGAATAAAAAAAATACATAGAGATAGAGAGAACAAAACCTAGTCGCGTAAACCTAGCGCCAAGCCGACCATAGCGTAAGAAGAAAGATTGACTGTGAGATCGCCTTTACTCTTTTGAGCCTCTTTCCTCAAGTCTTCTAGACTCGATCCCTCTAATATCTCCATATTAGCTCATACTAAGTATTGTAGCAAAAAAACCAAAAAACAAATACAAGATGACAGTGGGAAAGATGTCAGTAAAAAAATCATGAGTTTATGCATGAGAAGCAATACAAATAAACAATAAACAATACATAAGCAAATCTATGTACAAATAGCACATTTTATCATAGTTATCAAAATCGTACGATTCAGTTCGATGTAGGTACAAAACAATTCGTATCTTATATACAAATCATTTTTAGAATTGAATCGCATCTGAATCATACTATTTGTATAATTCGATTCGTATAGCACGAATCGCACTATTTAGCCACTTTTTTTTATAACCTAGATTTTTGGGAAAACGATCTCATTTTGGTCGTTAAACAGTAAACCGACATCGTTTTGTTTGCAGGAAAACCCATACCCTATTAAAAACTTAGCTTCTTTACTCACGTATGACATCGTTTAAAGCTCGTCTTGCATTGTCTAAAGTTAAGATCACAGCTAACGCTTTTGCATTATCGGTTAATTTTTGCTCTCAATTCTTTCATAGGTAGTTTGTTAGGTTCTAATTTTTTGTTTCAAAATGTTGGCCTGTATGTTTTCTCCCAATTAATTTTCTTATTTGTTTCTTTTTCATTCATGTTTGTGACCTAATCTATACTAGGTGTCACTATTCTGGTTCTTGAATAGACATGATTCTTTAATGATTTTTTTTTTCAAGTTGTTGAATTTGAAAATGGTTAAACAAAAGATGAAAATGAAACAAAAAGCTAGCATCTTTTCATTTAGGCGACGTGATTATGTCAATTGATTATTTTTAGAATGCAATAATAATGTTCAATATTCAATACTTTGAGTATTTTAAATATGGTGTATTTTTTTTTTTATTTTTGTTCAAATTTTGTATTGAATTTTATAATTCAGGATTCGATACGATTCACGATTCTCAAATTTAAGATTCCAATTCACAATACGAATTGTGATTTGACAACTGTGCATTTTATACCTACCAGTCATGGGAATGAGCGATCCACAAAGTAATCTACCTAATCCCTTCATATAACGCACTACAATCTTCAAAAAAGAAAAGAAAAGAAATCTATCCAATTCATGTCATCAATGCTTCAAGATCACAACTACTGTACACAAAATCAATGTACTCAATACAATATTAAACTTCTCAAACAAATTATTGAAACTAAGGAACACTTAACAATCCCGCTAAGATTCAAACCAAACACAAAATCATGAAAAAATTAAATCATCACAAACAACATTAGTTAAAAGAAAAAAAAAGATCAAATTGTCAGAGTAGTTATGATTTGTCAAGTTACCACACAACCAAAGAACATTTTCATTGTTTTAGTTCACATAATAGGTGTTCACATTGAATTACAAATGGGACGAACTTCAATTGCCTAGAGTTCTGCAAAAAATAATTGAATGAACAATAAGCATCAAAGAAGAATCTCAAAACAACAATCAATTCAACAATAAAATTTTAATCCAAGCATCGAATTTCAAAAGATTCGTAATTAAGCATTTTCAAGGAACCAATTGAAATTCAAATTGACACATGTTTGAAGAATAGAAAATTCCATAATTTTAGCACTGAAAAACACCAAAATAGAAGGGTGGAGACATTGAATTACAAACGTTCAAATGTATATACTTATTTATAAATATGTTTACCAACATTATAATAAGGCAATAAGAACAAAGCCATACTCACAATACAACTATCTTTCTCAACGTTAGAAACTATTTGGTTTCGCCGCCTTGTCCTACATCGGTCTCAAAAAACTTCATTCACTGCACCAAAGAAGCAAGAGTCATCTCATGCTTTCAAAACCCCAAACACACTAAAATATGACAGATGAATCAACGCCTTGCAAAATCTCTACAAATGTAACCAAACATATGATTTCAAGTTGACTAAGAAACAAAATTACATGCATAATTAAGCAGTACATTAGAGAATTTTTAACTTTAAATAGATGTAGTTTGAACTTTTGCCACTCAATAAAGCAATAAATGGAACAATCTATAAACTCTACAAAGTTGATAATTAAGTCCACAGGAAAAGATGTACCAAAAAAAAAGAGATTTGCTAAACTGGAAAAAAAAATAAAAAAAGATAGCTTCGCTCCTTGTAATGAGCAAGTAACTGAGAACAAAAAATCTTAAAAGGCAATACAAAATCAAATTCCATACCCACAATCCACCCACATAAACACTTAATTTTAGTTTAACCCAATTTCATGAAATTAACACCTAATTTCATACCATTAACAAAATCCTAACATTCAATTAGATCAAAACACACGTTAACATAAACAAATGGAACACAAAAAAATGGAACTAATTTGAAAAGGAAAATTGGGAAAACAAAGCTAAGAGGATTCCTTTTGTGATAGGGGTTCTTTCAGCATCAACTCAGAGCCACACAAAACAAAAAGTTACAATAAAACTTAAGGACATAATCAAAAGTTAATTGAGAAAATTTCTTAAACCCGTAAACTTTTATAGATTTCAAACAAAATAGATCACATTCAAAGTGGTATGACACTAAAAATAAATAACCTAGCTATTCTCAAAATAAATAAAATATTACCTCACATCATGAGAGTGTCAAGTGGACGTGATCGCCGCTTGAGTTCAACCATAGCAAACATTTCCTTCAATTCGCGTCAAATTGAACCTAATGGCAATAGAAACACATGTTTATCAGAAAAATCGACCCATCATTCCACAGAAGAGTTGGAAATTAACCAACCTTTATATACCAATGAAGCAATAACATTCAAACCAATTTAACATTCAAAACACCCAAACTATAACAATCAAACTATAACATTCAAGTTATAACAAAACTTATCAAACTAATTTGAAAAAACACTCAAATGAACACCAAAATTATCAAATCAATTTGTGTGTTATTTTGATGTTGTGTGTATGTAGCAATAGCAACAATATAATACATTCAGTGTAATCCACCACGTGCAACTTTGTGAAAGCAAAATTTATGTCCGTAGAGGGTAGTACATCTACGGAATTTTGTGGCAACAATTTAACCAATTACTTTCCTATAGAAATAAATGCATCACCATGTCCTCTAAAGGGGTAGTATAAAGAAGAATTTTGTAGCACCAATTTAACCAAAGCAAATTTGATGGTAGGGATTATTTATTAGGTGTGGGTACACTAAACACATTATTTATTAGGTACGGGTTCAATACATCAATCTACTAGTAAAGTGAAAAAAAAAGAACTAAATCCAATATCTAAGACACTAAGCATACAATCAAACATATTACGCCAGCCACCCATTGGCAGAGTTAATATTAAAAAATGCAATCAAACATAAGCAACGCATCCACCCAAGAACACAATTTAAGATTGTCAAGCCATATGGTGAAAATGAATTTAACTACAACATCATTTCTCTATCAAACTCCACCGTTCAAATACTACAATACTACTTTAATATGATGAATATCAGAAAATGTTAATTGGTCCCATGAAAATATTTTTAATCCAAGCAACAATTTAATCAAAACATCCAAAAAAACAAAAACATTCTAGAGCATCCAAATTCCAATTGAAAATTGCCAACTTGATATCTCATCAAAAGTATGCATATTAATATGCTGAAACACGTCTATGAACCTATCAATTTCATTAGGCTATTCATATTAAACAAAAATTCACAGGAGTTCAAATTAAATATAAAATTCATATTCAAAACCACAAATAATATGTACATCACCAATGCAGAAAAAATACTCAAAAAATCAAGCCAAAACTCTCACTTCAAAGCACCAAGGTGGAGTAGCTATATAACCCCAGATTGACTCTCAGTATGGAGGAGGCAAACCTGAAAATTATGGAAGAATCATAAATTTTAAAAAGCACAAATAAAAGTAGAAACGTATTAGAGTAAAGAAATTGACAACTTCCGACCACTACAGAATGTGTTTGGTTGCTTCATTTACAAAAACTTTTTTAAATGATGGTGTCCTTTAATTCTAAATAAACAAAAAAACTCCATACTAAAAGCTAGATCAAACTTCATAGATAAATTCAATCTTACACAATTAAAAAAATTTATCACTCAAGAGGTTGTCCAATTTTTAGGCATTTCAACAAACATATTATGTGCAATATACCAAGCTTAAAAATAGTTATTCACCAACTACCGCAACATGATAGTAAATCCAAAAATCACAAGCGAACAATACTTATAATAATATAATTGCGAATCGACAAATAAGGATGTCTGTTGTTCAACTAATCCAACTGAATTCAGGCCAAAAATGTAAATTTAAATCTACATTAATCATAGAAAGATCTAAATTGAAAAAGGGATGAAAATAGTCATACAGAGATCGCACCACATTACTTAACATAAAATCCAACAAACTTCAGCATTTATGCATAAATTTGATAGAATTCATTATGTTCAAACGCAAGTTCTAACATAAGTTCAAAAGCATATTGTCAGCATTTACACAATAACTCTACAGCACTCAAAGCATAAGTAACTTAATTATAGAGACCAAAAGCATGACCAGTCAAATGCCATAGAAGCTGAATGAATTAACCACAATATCAACAATGGTAAACCAACACTAAAGCACCCACAACATCACCAACACCCTCTAGGTGTTACCATCAGGACAGTCACTTCCAGTACCACAACTAAAATGAATCCATTAGAGTCTATTTGCCAACATTTTACGATGTCCACACGACCTCGAACAACCTATCCAATCAAAAAAAGAATCCCATTAATAGAAACACTTGAAGGACTTCAATAAGACCATTAACCCATTACTTTATATTTTTTTTTCCCATTTCTCATTACAAAGAACTATTACTAATACGATCAAAATAAAATTCAATTACAAACCTGGCAACTTGCAAAATGTAATAGCAAGAGAGAACTATTTTATGTATTGTATTGAACATATTGAAAGGAAAGTTAAATGAAATATGAACAACATACCATACATTTTATCTGTGGAACATCAGCCATCAAGTGGACCACTTCCTCAAAAATTGAACTATGAAAATCAAGTACCAAAATGTGAACACTATGAAAATATCATGTGGAGCCCCAATTTCTCTCATGACACACACACGATAAATCAATACACTTTTGGTACTTGATGGAAGAACATAGTGAGTCAATTTGTCGAATCAAAGACTCCTTAGATCTCTGAGAAATTTCGTCGACCATGTGGTGGGTGTGGTTTGTGAAAGGTGACCTTCTTTGGGGTGTGGCGTTGGTTGTTCTAGTTTGGGGAAAGAGAAAATTTCTTAGATTGTTTTATGTGTTGTGTGTGTTTTGTGTGTCTCTTCGCGTGGGTGTATTCAAATGTGTGTGTATGTGCGTTGTGTGTGTCTGTGTTCGATTATGTATGTGTGTGTGTGAGAGAGAGGGAGAGACAGAGAGAGAGGAAGATACCTAGCAAATGAGCAACTGGGTTGGGCGAGATCGACTGCTGAAGCCATAGGGAGAGAGAAAGAGAGAGGACGCTTGAGGAGGCGTGTGAGTTGCAAAAGTTGGGTGGGATTTGGGTTTTGATTGGGATGAATTGTGAGCCATTGGATTTAATTGGATGAGCTTAGATGAAATATGAACCGTTTACCTATATTTTAATTAAATCCTAACCATTCTTCTACTTTTCTAAATTAATAGAGGTGATTTCAATTTGGAAGATTCAAAAATACCCTCTATCTTATTGTTATAGATTACAACCATCCCAATAATATAAACACTGGTGATGAATGGTAAGATACAAAAAATATCAATTTGGTATACAAAAAACATCAATTTGTTAGTTCTTTAACTTGTAAACACAATTTTCATAACCAAACTACATCGTAACACACATTCGATACTACAGAGACGAAAAGAAACACACAAATGAAATAAAAAATACAATGTTATTTCTTAAAGTGCCCAAACCCATAACCAAAATCCAATTTTCTTCCTCAACATCGCACATTAACACTTCATGTCACCAACTACAGAAAGCACACAAAGAAATTGTATAATTTTGATAAACATAATATATTCCACCTTAATTGGTATACCAAGTTCACAAAACCTACTGAAAAAATCTTCCTTTTTAGTCCTAATTAACACTTCCCAAGTCAAACGACAACATAAGCTAATTCACACTTTGAAAGGCTCTATGAAACACAAAAATTCATACATTCGAAAAAAAATTAAGCATGTGTTTTGAAACTATAGGCATGCATTTTAAATTGTTTCCACATAAAACATGCCAAACTTTGTACATCCATGAAGCATGCATTTTAAAACTATATGCATCTGAATAAAAGCTCTTGGTAGTACCATTGAAAAATTTTCCATGTCTTTTGTTAAGTAAGAAAAGCTTTATTCCACCATCCAAGTAAACATATCAAACAAACTCGACTCAAAGTACAATAATTAGTCTTATTGTTTTAAAAATCCAGCAAAAAAATCAAGCACAGACATATATTAAGTAAGAAAAGCTTTATTCTTCCGTCAAAGTAAACTTATCAAACAAACTCAACTCAAAGTACAATAATTAGTCTTATTAACTTTAAAAATCGAGCAAAAAAATCAAGCACAAACATATATTTGCTTGTGATTTTTAAAAGCATGCTTCATGGGTGCCTATTTTTAAAAAAAAATCATAAGCACAACATTTTTGGAACTTAATATTTTCAACCGGACACACACATACACAGACATATCCAGTACTTTATGCAATAATCTGTTGAAAAAAAATAAAAATAATCCATGATCTCGAAAGAGTAAAAGAAATGGACAAAAAGTAATCCATCATTTCTATAGGAAAGAAATGAATGAAATGGGGGTTATTGTAAGCCTGAGGCTTTAATGTCATCTACATGCTTCCTTATTTTAATTTCAAAAAACACGAACAACCTATGAATATTTCAAACCACAACAAACTCAATGAAATCTTTCTCATTTATAAGGTAAATGAGTTTCAAAATTGTTCACAAACAAAGAAAAAAGGTAGACAAAACTAACCTATGATAAACTGCAAGGAAAATTCGTTGGTTAAACTAAACCAAGGAAAATTATGTACTTCACACTGCAGGTCAAATTCGTTACTAACCATCATTATGCTCATGTACGACAATAACATTTATCAATTCTTAATGTACACACGTAGAATATAGTGCCCCTTCCATCTTTTCTAATTTAAACCCGTGCATGTAGGAAAGGGACCCTGAGACCACATCTCAAACTGGCACTTTGTCCTGCAAGCCTAATGAAGCCATGAAGTATGTTGGTTGTCCTCAATTAGAAACAACCATTAGCATTCCTTAGCTCCTCACCATCCTCTCACCCTATGTTAAATAACCTTCAATATAGTTTCTCAGCTTTTAAGATTTGCATCTATAGATCAATCAAAAGAATTGCATATCAAGAGTGATAATAAGAAAGAAAAAAAGGGTAACTTTATTGCTCACCTTATACATGCTAAATACTGCTTCATTCCAACTTGTTTTCAATAGTTTCCTGTATCCATCAGGATTGAGAAGCCATATAAAATCTACACCGCAGGTATTTCCCCGATGATTAGGATGGCTAACCCACTGTGTGAACAAACAAAACATGAGAAACCAATATAAGTTACTACATCATTTCATCAGAAGTAATTGAGATTATCAACTAAACGTGTAGTGACCTTGTGCGCATCTGCATCAGTGTACTGATGAGCAGTATCATATGATGACACAAACCCTTGAGATCTAAGGAATTTGTAAACATGACCTCGTTTGCTCCCATTCAAGTCACTGAAAGGGGAAAAGAAATTTGTCATATCAAAAATACTTGGTAGTTTGTAAGACCACTCAGACAAGAATACAAATACTCAAAACTTACATGCACAATATAATGGGCAATGGATTAAGCTTATTTTCCTTCTGACATGGATTAGCATTCCTTAGCTCCTCACCATCCTCTCACCCTATGTTAAATAACCTTCAATATAGTTTCTTAGCTTTTAAGATTTGCATCTATAGATCAATCAAAAGAATTGCTTATCAAGAGTGTTAATAAGAAAGAAAAAAAGGGTAACTTTATTGCTCACCTTATACATGCTAAATACTGCTTCATTCCAACTTATTTTCAATAGTTTCCTGTATCCATCAGGATTGAGAAGCCATATAAAATCTACACCGCAGGTATTTCCCTGATGATTAGGATGGCAAACCCACTGTGTGAACAAACAAAACATGAGAAACCAATATAAGTTACTACATCATTTTCATCAGAAGTAATTGAGATTATCAACTAAACGTGAAGTAGTGACCTTGTGCGCATCTGCATCAGTGTACTGATGAGCAGTATCATATGATGACACAAACCCTTGAGATCTAAGGAATTTGTAAACATGACCTCGTTTGCTCCCATTCAAGTCACTGAAAGGGGAAAAGAAATTTGTCATATCAAAAATACTTGGTAGTTTGTAAGACCACTCAGACAGGAATACAATTACTCAGAACTTACATGGACAATATAATGGGCAATGGATTAAGCTTATTTTCCTTCTGACATGGATTAGCATTCCTTAGCTCCTCACCATCCTCTCACCCTATGTTAAATAACCTTCAATATAGTTACTCAGCTTTTAAGATTTGCATCTATAGATCAATCAAAAGAATTGCATATCAAGAGTGATAATAAGAAAGAAAAAAAGGGTAACTTTATTGCTCACCTTATACATGCTAAATACTGCTTCATTCCAACTTGTTTTCAATAGTTTCCTGTATCCATCAGGATTGAGAAGCCATATAAAATCTACACCGCAGGTATTTCCCTGATTAGGATGGCTAACCCACTGTGTGAACAAACAAAACATGAGAAACCAATATAAGTTACTACATCATTTTCATCAGAAGTAATTGAGATTATCAACTAAACGTGAAGTAGTGACCTTGTGCGCATCTGCATCAGTGTACTGATGAGCAGTATCATATGATGACACAAACCCTTGAGATCTAAGGAATTTGTAAACATGACCTTGTTTGCTCCCATTCAAGTCACTGAAAGGGGAAAAGAAATTTGTCATATCAAAAATACTTGGTAGTTTGTAAGACCACTCAGACAGGAATACAATTACTCAGAACTTACATGCACAATATAATGGGCAATGGATTAAGCTTATTTTCCTTCTGATATGACTCGACATGCTGCAAGATTTTGTAGACCTATTAGAAGACACACAAAATACAGATTAAGAATAGGAACACCGAATATTATGAAAATGAAGTGAGATGCATACAAACCAACAGTTTGACAAAATAGTTTATCTACCTGATGCAATCGTTCCAGACAATAACTTGAATCATGAGGAAATAATAAATGGGTGTTCACTATATGAATTTCTTGCCGAACATTGTTGCTATGATATTGTGTTTAGGGTGCGACTAATTCAACATATAATAGCTGAGCAACACGATCTGTTTTAATTTAAACCACAAACTAAACAAAAATAAAGCAACTATTCCACTAATATATTGAATAGACCAATTAACCATGAACAATGTATATAATGGGGAAAAAATAATAAACAATTGTGAAAAACAGGGATAGAGGAGAGAATTTTGTGTGTGTGTGTCTCGTGTTTGTGTTGGGTGATGAAGACAGCGAAAGGGATACGAAGACGGCCAGAGAATGACAGAGACAAATCACCACCAAACTCGGACTTAAAAGGAAAAAGAATTTTATTGGTAAATATTTCTCTATGGCATTTTAACAAACACTTCATGTGCCATTGATTGGAGCTGTGGGGAAGGGGTGTGGTCATGCTGGTAACCAAAGATGGAAGAGAAAGAGGGGAAAAGAGAAAGAGAGGGAGGGAGGGACAAAGGGAGAGATACCTGAAGAGTGAGAATCGTCATTGCTGGCGGCGTGAGAGTGAGAGAGGAACAGAGCTGTGGTGGGTCGCTGTTTGGACAAACAGAGAAGAGAGAAAGATAGATCAGTGAGAGGGGTTAACGGTCGGGTGAGAAGGGAGGGGAGAGAGGAGTGAAATTTGGGGAAGAGTGCTTGACAGAGATGGATTTGTGGGAAACGTCTAGGATGATTTTGGGGGGAAATGAGAGGTTGTTGGTGGCCGTCGGATGAATTAATTTGAGACTGTTGGATGTGGCAGTTGTCATGTTTTATTAGAATAAAACTACCTATTGAAATAAAACTAAAAAATCAAAAAAGGGTCTAAGTCATTCTTAACATAACATGAATTTACAACTAAATTTCATGTTTTATTATTTTATTTATTTAAATAAAATTAAAAATAAAAATTTAATTTTTTTTTAAAAAAAAATAGTTAGTATACAATTATAATATCTATTAAAATAAAACTAAAAAATTAAATAAGGGGTCAAATTGTAAGGAACACAATATCTTTTAGATTCAATATGGATAATTTGGTATTTTAATTTGGTCGTTTAAACGACCAAATTAAATTTTAATAAATAATATAATTGTATATTAATTATAATTTTTTTAAGAAAAATTTAAATTTAAATTTTTTATTTTATTTTAATATATGACATAATAGAACATGAATTTTAATTGTAAAATTTAAAATATTTAATATTCTATCTTTGATTGAAATATTTTTGGTCTAAATATAACATTATAAACTTAAGGGGGTCTAAGTAATATATGTTTACCAACTTTAGAGAGTCTGAATGTAATTTATTAATTAATATATTTATGACAGGGGGTCTAGGTGTTTCGCACGTAGGAACTTTAAAGGGTCTGAGTGTAATACTTCAAATATCAGGGATCTGAGTGATTAAGTGACAAATCTCAAGGAGTGTGAGTGTAATTCTCCCAAAAAGATATTTGGGTGATGTGTGTGTGTGTGTGTGTTTTTAAAGTGGGCGAGAGGATGGATTTGGGTGGGTTAGATCGTGAGCCATTAGATTAGATATAAGTAGATGGGTTTAGAAGAGATCTGAATCATTTATTTAAACTTTAATTAAATTTTAATCGTTGTTCTGCTTTTATAAATTGGGGGAGTTGATTTCAATTGAAATTTTTTTAATTTGTCTCTATCTTATTAATATAGATGTGTGTGGTTGTTTTTGTATTGCGTATAAAGTTTAACTTAATTTTACTATTGTTATTATGCTTTGGTTCTAGTAGTTGATTCGAGTTATATTTTCTTTAAGTACTTGATTGTACCAATAATTGACTTTTTAACACAATCAAAATTGTGTTTTCCTATTTTTAGGAAAAATTGTCAAACTTTATCAAAATTGTGTAAAAGAACAAAAAAAGTTTTGATTAACTATTGTCGATTTTTTTATTCAGCATAATATAATGTCTTTACAAGAATATTCATATTGGTAATACTTGGTTGAGCATGTATACAAAGTGTGGGTGTGTTAAGGATGCAATTTAGGTTCAACTTAGTGCGTGTTCATGTTCAATGTTTGATTTTTTCAAGTCCACAACAATGTTTGATTTTTTTGTAAATTATATAGTACTTTTAGAGACAGGTTATCCCTATCTATAATAATACGATGCAACCCATATTAAATCAGTTAGAACTTAGAAATACATAGACGCCACTACTCAAAAAAGAATGTGTGCATGCACTCCTTGATGTTTATGACCAACCAACTAGATTGAGAATTAACGACGATGTAAAATATTTTTTTTCTTCTTTGATTGTGTTTAAGATTAATGTTTACTTTTTTTTTTTTGAATTACATCGTGCCTTTAGATGCGGGGTTAAAGTTTAGACATTTGTGTGGTGGTAAATCCTAGCTCCAAAGAAGATGAAGTTGAAGGAACTTGTTTCTCTCTTTGTGCATGTGTGCTTTGTGTGTGCAATTTGCATGTATTTTGTTTGTTCCGTGTTTAGTTCAGCAAACTAATTACACATGGTTATGAGAATATGTTTGGTTTGATGTGAATTGACGATTGGGTATGTAATTGAGTTGTGATGAATGATAATTGTGTAGTGGTACGAGGCATTATGATGATTGAATTATAAATTGTGAGTTCTGTAAACAAATTGAAATTTTCTTAACATCCTATTTTTAGAGAAAGTTTTGCTGAAATTCTACAAAATTAGTGGTGATTAAATTGATTTCAATTTATTAAATTGAAGCAAATGATGTAAAAATTATTTCAAAATGACAATTTCTTTTATGTTGTAAAGTGCCTTTAGGCACGGTAGTATTCTTCAAGTTTTAATTCAATTTTTGCCGACCCTCCTCTTCTTCTTCCTTTGTGCTTGTGGTTTCACAACGCAAACACCAACTCTAAACCCTACCACCACCACCACCGCCACCACCACAAATAGGCTGCTACTCACAAGAAGGTTGTAGTAAGTCCAGTAACAGAACCAATGCCTATTAACACAGATACGTATTTCAGATATATTCCGAATTTTTTTAAAGGTACTGTGTATACAATATAAACAAGAGGGCTTCCCATTAGGCATAATAGGAAATTCCACTGAAATACCATGTTGACAACAACAAAAGATTAAAAACAAAATGATCTAAACCAATGGAATAATGTATAGACTGCACTGTCCATATACAAATTCATCTACCCACAAAGTACCTGTGGTCTTGTAGATTCTTCAGCCGAATCAGCAATTGCAGCAAATCCAACATATGCAAAAAATACCGCAGTTGCTCTGACTGTGGTGGATGTATGAGAGAGAAAACCATTTGGGGCAAAAGGTAAGAAAACTAACACATCAACCTTTGAAAAGCTCGGACTGTGGTGGTTGTGAGAGAGAGAGACTCGGAGGATTAGGGTCAGGGTGGTAGAGCGATAGTGGGCGGGTTTTAAGGTTAGTATTTGGGTGGTGCCACCAGAACAAGAAAGAAAGAAGATGGGGAAAAGGTGCACAATGAGAGTGGCCAGCCACTGCCACTCCAATGGACCCAAAAGGTCTCTCTTTAATCCATTCAAACTGTATTGAACCAGAGATTGGAATAGGAAATTGGGCATGTATAATCTTTAAACCGTGAAGTAATGCCCAAATGGGTAACTTCACTTTGAGCAAGCTTTGCTGGCCACTTTTTTTTTTTTTATTTCTTCAAAATGCTAATAGTCCTTCTCTTTGGAAGATAAATTTTTCATATTAACCAAGATGCATCAAATTGAGAGAGAGAAAGAGAGAGAGAGTGACTGGGTGACTGCTAAATGAATAATCATCCTTCATACAAGTCCAAAAAGGTTTTCACCCTTCACTCTAAAATGACACCTTTAATTGACAAATTTGATGAATCCACCTATTTATCACTCGAAATAAATAAGGGTAAGTTGTGTCAATCATGTTGAACAATCTAAAGAAATACAAGAGATAAGAAAAGAGGAAATTAGGATTTTATTGATACTGTATAATTCAAATGAAAACAAGGAAGTACTTTAACTTAAATACAAAGAGACTATATATAAGCTAAACAAAGCAGGGAAAGTAAAGGACTATTCTATCCTTAATAAAAAAAAATAACCCTATATTTCTTAACAAATCATACATTAAATAAGCATTCATGTTTAGAATTATGAGACCTAATGATACAAGGGTTGTATAACCACTCTATTATCATTGACAATGTAACCTAATGCTGCATAGTTGACTTAATGGGAAGACCAAAAACGAAAATCATTCTCATGATTTGCAAGTTATCGACCCTCCATGATTGTGACAATAAGATTGTTGATAGAACCTTATTTTTGACTCTGATGAAAAGACTGTGCTCCTGAATAAACATGTCTTTCGGTAAATGCAAGTTGTTTTGGGGAAGGAAGATCAGCAATTTCACTACCAATCATCGAAAACACAGTCAACACATTTGGCCTCTCTTTTGCAAATTCTTGGATGCATAATAGTCCTACATGTATATATCTCAATATTTCCATTCTAAAGCATGGATCAGACATCATTGGATCTACTATAGCACCAACGTTATCTTCATTCCACAATTTCCATGTCTGAGCACATTAAGATGAGAATCTAGTGTTGGATTTGGAACATTCAATATCAACCGGAAAGGTAAGGCCTTTAAAGATTTGTCTTAGTAAATAAAATGAACTTACAAATCTTAGAAGGCTAAAAGAGTGCTCATCATCGTAAAAGCTGGTGTTTCTTCTCCCTGATATAATCTCTAATATCAACACTCTAAAACTGTAGACATCAGACTTTTCTGAAAATATTCCTATCAATGCATATTCGGGTGCCATATAGGCACTGCATTAAAATTTTTTTTAGCATAAATAGTATATCATGAAGCAGTTTTGACAAAGAGATGTCTACTTACTATGTTCCAACAACCCTTCTAGTAATGGCTTGATCTTGGTTGCCTTCAAAAATCCTTGCCATGCCAAAATCTGAAATCTTTGGGTTTAGCTATTCATCCAGCAAAATGTTACTTGGTTTCAAATCTCTATGAATAATTCTTAATCTAGAATCTCTATGAAGGTAAAGTAGGCCACGATCAATCCCTTCAATGATGTTGACACGTTAAGTTCCATTTTTGGAAGAAGTGTGAAAAGGTTGTAAGTTGAAGGAAATTGAAGGCCAAATGCCTATTATCTTCTGAATGCAATGAAGCAATAGTAATGCATAAGCAATGACTTAGGAAGTACAATTGATTTTCAACTAACCGAAAAGAAATGCATCCAAGCCTCCATTTTCATGTATTCATATATCAACATCTTTTCTTCTCCTCTATGCTGCAGCCAAGAAGTTGAACAAGGTTGCGATGCTGGAGTTTAGAAATCACCACAACTTCATTCATAAACTCCTCTAGACCTTGTCCAGAAAATCTTGGAAGTCTTTTCAAGGCTATTTCTTGCCCATCTGGCATTATTCCATGAAAATAATAGTCATCAATTTTGTTTCTATTTACATATATCTTTTTCAAGCGTTTTGTTTTATTAATTTTCTAATCTTGAACCAACAGTCTTTGCCATAGAAGAGCCACATTTTTTCTGAGAACTGGGAGGCAAAGACACTCAAGGTTTACCCCCTTATGGTTTGGGCCTATAGCACTTCACCCCCTCATGGTATGAAACTGAGCACCATAACCACCATATGTTGTTTTTTGAATTAATCTGCTACCAATTAAAGCATTAAAGCAGACCACTAAAGAAGATGTTTTTCCAACACAATCACCTGATTTTTGGAGTAACATTTTGTATAGAAAATGATCCTCAAGAGCTTGTGGCCTGAGTTACAACAATATACGTGAAAATAAACTACAAAACAGTCCAGATATCATTATATGCTTAACAACCACCAACAAGGCAATTCGTCTGTAACAACACAGAATTTTCCAACCCATATCCGCCAATGCATTATGATTAAATGTAAGCTAATGACGAGTAGCTGACTTATGTAGTCCACAACCTTGTGGATCAAAATTATCTAGGCTAGATCAAAAAATTCATATGTTGCAAGGCAACTTAAATCGAATTACACAGGTATGTACATAGAAGAAATAACAAAAATTGAAAGTAATTATCATGATTTCCCTTTTATCGGCCTTCAGCAATTGTGATAGTGAGACCATTGAGAGAATGGTGTTTTTGACTTTCATGAGAGGACTGTCTCCCTGGAGAAATACTTCTTTCAGTAAATGCAGGTTGTTTTGGGGAAGGGAGATCTACAATTTCACTACTAAGCATTGATAGAACAGTCCAAACATTTGGCCTATCTTTTGCAAATTCTTGCACGCATAATAGTCCTACATGTATATATCTCAATATCTCCATTTTGAAGGGCGGATCAGATATCATTGGATCTACAAGAGCACCAACCTTATCTTCATTCCACAATTTCCATGCCTGAGCACATTAAGATGAGAATCTAGTGTTGGATTTGGAACATTCAATATCAACTAGAAAGGTAAGGCCTGTAAAGATTTGTCTTAGTAAATAATATGAACTTACAAATCTTAGAAGGCTAAGAGAGTGCTCATCATCATAAAAGCTGGTGTTCCTTCTCCCAGATATAATCTCTAATATTAACACTCCGAAGCTGTAGACATCAGACTTTTCTGAAAATCTTCCCACCATTGCATATTCAGGGGCCATATATCCGCTATGTATATCAATTTACCAGAGAAAGTAAAAGAATTGTAATGAAGTTGAATTATTGCATGAGAAGAAAGTTCATCACATGGAGAAGATTCATATACATACTATGTTCCGACAACCCTTCGAGTATTGGCTTGATCTTGGTTGCCACCAAAAATCTTTGCCATGCCAAAATCTGAAATCTTTGGGTTTAGCTCTTCATCCAACAAAATGTTACTCGGTTTTAAGTCTCTATGAATAATTCTTAATCTGGAATCTCTATGAAGGTAAAGCAGGCCACGACCAATCCCTTTGATGATGTTGACGCGTTTACCCCAGTCTAGGGGTTCTTGTTTCAACGAATCTGAGACGTTTGTTTTTGAAAGGACAAGTATGAAAAGTTTGTAAGTTGTAAGGAAATTGATGTTGAGAAGACTGTCATCTTCTTAATGCAAGGAAGTCAATAGTAAATTAGAAGCACTGACTTAACGACTATAGGGGATTATAACTGACCGAAAAGAAATGCATCCAAACTTCCATTTGGCATGTATTCATAGATCAACATCTTTTCTTCTCCTTCTATGCAGCAGCCAAGGAGCCGAACAAGATTGCGATGCTGAAGTTTAGAAATCACCTCAACTTCATTCATACACTCTTGTAACCCTTGTCCAGAGGATCTGAGAGCCTTTTCACAGCTATTTCTTGTCCATCCAGAAGTTTTCCCTGAAAATAAGCATCAAATCAGTTGCATATGGTTCAGTATCCCATGAAGCCCCAGATAAACAACCATTACCTTGTACACTGGACCAAAACCACCCTGCCCAAGCTTATTAGCACCATGAAAGTTGTCAGTTGCTTTTGCCAAATTCTCAAAACTAAATAATGGCAGCTCTTCAAGTTTTATTAGGTGGGTCTTATCTCGAAGCATGCTTTCAGTAGGATCATCTGGATGTGCTTCAGGTTTTTGCTTCCTTCCTGTTGCAGGAACCTAACTATATGTAATTTTGTCCAAGAATCAGTATATGCAAGTACTTCTGAGCTAACTCCGAGTAACATACTACCTCTTAGCTTGGCTATCCACCTCCAAGAAATGTAGGTGCAGATGGCAATGGCAACCGACCCAATGCTAATGATAACTGCCAGTTTTACTTTGATGTTTTTTCCTTCATCTGTAAAACAGAACAAATTCAAGGGTTCAGCTAAATTGGACAAAAGAAAAGAAGTTGAATTTAGCTGAATTCAAGGTTTTGAGCTTCAAGTTACATATCTGGAGTAGTTTATTGAACAGATTTAGGGCTAAAGTTCAAGAAATATGCTGCAACTCAAATCAATCGCATAACTCGTCAGGGTAGCTCAAATGGGATTATTACAGGAGCTATTATTTAGGAGGTCCCAAATGTAACTCTAACATTAGAGGCCTGGTTTCCCCAATACACACGATTGGGATTGAGTGAACGCATCTGAAGTTTATACCGGAAATACGAGTCCATGGGACACGTGGCTGGGACGGTAGTCAGTTGTCAAAAAACACAGTTCCACATATTCATTAAACACAGAGAAAAAGAGGATAAGTATAGGAGCATCATTCACTACAAGATGATAGAGAAGACAAAATGTATTACCAAGCTCTGAATATGCCACTCGAATGTAAAGATCCACCGCACCTCTGGGGAGTTTCTGAATGTCCAGTAGACTTCCTCCATTGCATACATCCAATGCCTGTGTAATATGAATAAGCTATACATGAACAAATATTCAAGCATAGGCTTCCACAATCGTCTTCCGCAGCAAAATGGCAATTCCGCTAAGTCTGGCACTTTCATGGCCTGAAGCTTCAAAAATCCATCCTCTTTGCCCACTTCATTGACAGTTTTGTTTCGTTCACATTGCAATGTTGTCTTTCTTATGCATCCACTAGACCAATTTCCTTGACTCCATTCATCCATATGTTTTGGCCCCAAATCCCTTAAAGGTACAAATTGGTGACTCCAGTGAATTACAGATTCCAATGGTCCACACTTGCCATAAACATCACACTCATGTTCTATAGCCGACCATGCCACTTCCCACTCTTCCTTTCCAACTAAACACCAATTCTTCTGTAGATCTCCTTCAGAATTCAAGAGCAGGTAAATATAAATAGGACAAATCAGTTGATAGGTATAAGAGCTAGAGAAACGGTTCCTTCTTGTGTCATCTACAAGAGTAAATCCAGCGAGATATGAAGAATCCATCGTTGGAATTCCAATAAAATTCTGACCATTCCAAGGACCACTACGCCAGTATGGACGGCCACCATTCCAAACAAAAGTTGTGGGATGTTCAAAGGCTTGACCCAACGGAGAAGCTTCCAATCGATGGATCCGAAGGACTTTTCCATGATGTTAGCCGAGTACTCTCTCCTGTCTTTGCATCAGTACCAATTCTCATCTTCTGCAAGATGAGTCTGAAGGCTTTTGAAAACTTTTCCCATATGATCCGTTCACCGGAATTGTCTCGCAAGACTAGGCTCCCGGTATCCAAAAGCTGTGCACTTGAATTTGCCGCAGGATTTGAAACATTTGATGACCCAATGAGATCTCCTTCTGTCCATTCAAGATTACAAGATTACCGTCCTCCGATATTGTCACAATACCGGAAGAATCATTTAGTGGCTTGTTTCTATTAGCTACCCATACCGGAGTCACTACAGAGACGTTGTACAAGATACCAACATAACGATTTGTAGAATTCACAGGAGTAAAGAATCCCAGCTTGAAGATCTGGCCAATGGAGACGATATTTTTTCAGAGTCTTTGATGGATTGTGTGGATGTAATGATGTCTGTGGAAGTGC